GCACACACTCATCCAAAAGTAAAATGTAAAGCGTAAGTTACGCTATAGGGATATCGGGTGACCGAGGTTAAGCAATGAGCTGTATTTCAAATGGAATAAATGTAAAGGACAAAAGTATCCTACAAACATACATTCTCTGCGTCCTTTGGGAGCGGAGAGCTCTTGGAAGGTTCAGGGCAGTTAGTTTACGGATTACACAAAAAACGCAAAAGCCGATGCCACGAAACTGTGTTAAGTAAATCCGAAGAAACCTCCAAGATGGGACCCGTCAGCGACTGGGAGCTCTATGAACCCGATTAACTGCCTTCTCTGTAGATCTATTTCATTCGCTTCTATGACTGACGTGTTGTTCCGGGGGTTTCCTCCATGTACTGAGTTTCCCGACAATATATCCTGAAGGGACGAAATAATCTATGGTTGTATAAATGCAACTGAAATGGATTAGAATAAAAGCCTCAGTATGGTCGGGGGTGGGTGTCTACCGTTGTGGCTGGTCACCCTACCCTTGCACCTCGCGAAATGCTCCCATATTACCAAGCGGCTCGAACGGCCTCTGCTGAGGAAGCCCTACTCACTGCCCTCTCGTGGCGGAGTTGTTTCCCACCAAAGTGAGGACGAAAAACCAACATCCGGGTTGGTGGACAACTCGGAGTTCACCCAGGGGAGTTGGCTAAAACCCTGATTGCAAACCAACCAAGAGGAGGCGTACGAACCAGACCCACACTTTCTCGGTTGTGGCAGTGGTCACCGGCTCGATTGGGCATTGAGGTGTATTGGGCACCTTGGACGTCTGACCCCGTCCAAAGGGCATATGATCCGATGAAATAGACACCGACTCCCAATGGATTGCGGTTTTGGGCACACCACCCAGTTGCGTTTTGGTGGTCAGGCTTTGGTTAGCCAAAGGCTCTGGTTGTGGATTCCCCAAGAAAATTCACCTGGCTTGGCCTGGGCAACCTGGCAGTACTCCGCCCACATGGTACCATGGAACGTTCTTATTATTATAAAGATTATTGTACCATGATTTGCTTGGCACACAGTCTGTTCTCGGACAAATGTGAAATATAATATAAACATTGAAAATCCGAGCACTTAAGTTTTACGTTATCGATTGCAAAACCAAATCAAACAAGGCATCTGGTTACGAGCTACTCATAACAAAATTGGTAGTTGAGAAGGATGAAATGGGGAATGACGAAATAATTACAGCAGCAGGAAATACGAAAGCGATTCGATAAACTTTAAATACGCTGGAATGCTTCAAATGAACAACGGAAAACAGTGAAGAAACAAGTAAAGTTGCGTTACCTAAAACTAAAGTCAAGAGTTATAAGAAATCATTAAACCTACGCTTCTCACGTATAAAAAAAATCACGGAAGTGAAACCGCTCTGTACAGATGTAATTGAAAACTACAAAATCAGGAGTATGAACCGACAATCAAAAACACAAATAAAAAACACGGACTTCTCTGCGTCGCAACGCTTCTGCTTCCTCCCGAGCCCTTCGTTCTGCCTCTTCCGTTCGACGTTTGATCAATTCCGCCCGTTCGGTCTCGACACGTCTTTCGATCTCGGCCGTAAATTCATCACTGCGTTCGTCGAGGAGTTTTGCAAGTTCTGTGTCCAAGTAACGCTCTAAACGACGGGCGACCTCTTCTTCCAATAACTTCGACTCCGCCCAGCGCTGTCGACTATTTAAAATAGGAAGAACGTTAAAACTTCAAGAAGACGAAGATGTAGCAACAGTATTTTACGCTAAGACAAAGTGAGATGAAATAACCTCCAGGCGTGTCAATTCAACAAGTATGGTACCTTTGACTTAGTTTTTTACTCTACATACAATGGTCACTCGGACAAACTATCTAGAGTCGAAATATTCAAGTACGTATTTCTGATCAATTGTGTACCTCAATATGAAACAAACGAATCGGAGCCCGTGATATTCCGTTTTCCAATACCTGTATACAAAGCAAGTAAGAATGGGTAAAGTGGGTAAGCGATGGACCCACTTCGGGGAAGGGGAAAGTGAACCACTATAGTCAACGCAGAGAATGCAGTCTAACTGCGTATACACTCATCTCCGAGTGCCTTGGTCTGAAAAAAACGACAAACGTCAGTGTTAGTGAGCAGCCATGCTCCGACTAATCAGCTAGTATATTTTACACTTGTGTGAAAGACGGGATAGCTAGTCTACGTGATGTTGGAAAGCTTTGCTGTCGTCCGGTTCAATATTACACTTAACGGGGCTTTATGTGGTTCACCACTCCAAGTCCCCAGGGTTTAGTTTACTGGTTTCCCTGGCTGAAAAACAGGTCTTTGCGATTATGTGACCCAACCCGTCTGCGGTTCATCACACAAGTGTGTGTAAACGTAATCCATTTGTACATCTGTTCACGTTATCTGCGGAAATCAATGAAGCGAAGTAGGAAATAGCACTTGAGCGGACAGTACTAAAGAAATAAGACCTGAAGATCAACTGTTTAGTGGGTGGATGTCAAAGGGCTTTGTATAAGAGTGAACTGGGGAAGAGACGGAAAATGATCCCGCGTAACATCGTTGCTGATGAATCACCTGTTTAAGAAACTTTCTAGCTTTGTGTAAAGAATATATGAGAATATGAGAATATATGAGATATCGAAGGATTACTCTTTCCGAGAATCATTTAAATCATCTGGTATCTGAAACCATCGGTTGGTTTGATTACGACCTACACCGGCCTACATGAGCAGATCCAAGGAACAAGGTTTTCTACAGATATTTTTAAGCATCATTAGCTTAAACATCACATATCAGTTAATACGCCTGAGGGACACGCGTATCAGATGCTGTAACCAGAACTTACCGATGCTATGCGGCATCATCATCATACAGCTGAATACAGCGAAACGAACTTCGATGATCACTACCAAACTTATAATGTTAGGTATGCAGGTTGTTGCATGATTTTTATTACCTAGTGCTGTACACCCAACTTTAACATTAGGTTTTCGGTTACAACATGAAACGAAGTGGTACGAACCAGACCCACACTTTCTCGGTTGTGGCAGTGGTCACCGGCTCGATTGGGCATTGAGGTGTATTGGGCACCTTGGACGTTTGACCCCGTCCAAAGGGCATATGATCCGATGAAATAGACACCGACTCCCAATGGATTGCGGTTTCGGGCACACCACCCAGCTGCGTTTTGGTGGTCAGGCTTTGGTTAGCCAAAGGCTCTGGTT